TGAAACGATGTTCATCATGACACCGCAGGCCGCTAAGCCTGCCAAAACCCCGCCGTGCGACTTGCCCGCCCAGGCCCCGATGGTGAAAATCGCCAGTTTTCCGTAAGTGGAGGCGAGGGACCAGTCCGTCAGCCCGCAACCGTAGGCGTTACAGAACGCCAGCGCCGGCGCGACGATATAAATGACCAAAATATAGTACCATTTCAGCTGCGGAAATATCTTAGGCAGAGTTGCAGCGGAAACGGCGGCGATTGCGACGTAGCCGCTAAATGCGAGCCAGGTCGGAATTTGGTCCTTGAGGAAAACCTCAGTTCTGCGCTGATCGTCGAAAGAGGAAGCCGCCGCATCTGGGTCGCCGGAGGAAGGGCTGTTGGTGACTGGGATTACGCCGCCGGGGCCCTTGTTCTTGAGTTGAGCGGACAAGGCCATGAGTGTTCTGCTCAGAACTTTGAAGAAATTGTAAAGTCCATCTCCAAGAATCATTGATATTGCAATGAAAACCTGGGTTTAAAGAAATCTTAACCCTAAAACACATGAAACCAGAAATCTTGTGAAGGTTAAAGGCAAGGAAGGAAGATATATATACCCTGTAACCTTGGATGCCATGGAGGCTGGTATTGCTCGGTTCAGTATACCAATCACCTTTTCTGTTCTGGATAAGAGGCCACATTATACCCCAAGAAAGAATTGCTCCAAGTAACACCGAGATGTTGATTATGTATGGGCAAATCATTCCCACACCAACATATGTTGCTGAGAAATCAAAGTAAAACCTGAAATGAAGATGAGCGCAAATTAAGTACTATTTGGTGCTAGAGAAAATTTGTTGAGGAACAAGAACGGAGACAGAGAATATATGTAATTTTTAGGGGGTAATAAGACATAAGACGGGGACGAGAATACCTGTCCTGCCCTATATATATATATGTGTGTGTGTTAATACTTAGGTTTTTAGTTTTTAAAATTAAAAATTAAATTAATTTAATATTTTGACTAAAAGTTGACTGGAACGACTCTGGCCTCATGAACGGGAATGGGGACTACTTTTAATTCCCGGCTGGGAATGAGGACGGGGATAGGGTCGGGGTTGAGGACGGGGAGTATATTCCCGGCTCCCACCTTGCCCCATTGCTATTCCTAGTTTGTCAGGTTATTGATCTGAAAAATTATTAGAAGTTTCAAATTTGACTCCAGTGGCCTTGGTTGGAACGTCAACTATAGATAACCTAAACTGATTTACCTCTTTTTGGTCCTATGCCGCTACATCACAATTTGGGTTTACGCAATACACATTCTCAGATAATGACGGCTGGTTTTCTGGTTAATCAAAAGAAAAGTTGTACCTGTTTGCATAAGCTTTGAGGCCGAAAGTTGGGAAGGATTGGAATCCACAATCCTCTCCTGCAGTAAAGAACCACTGGAAGAAACCCCACAAAAAGCTGAAGGAGAAGAACTTGCCCAATGCTCTCACCTGTTTCCTGGTTCAGAAATTTGTATTCCCAGAATTTATCAACAAAAGAGATATGTAAAACATCAAAGGAGAGGGTGTAAAGGGGCTTACTTGGCTAGCTTTGCTCCTTGAGGAGTATGAAAACTGTTGATAAGGTGAGCAGTTGCAGTGCCACTTGGATATATCAATTTGAAGTCTATAACCATTATCTGCAGAATCATTGATATATATACCACAGAGGGTTAAAATCTATAGGGTGCCTTTAGTAACAGAAACTCGAAAATTTGGAGAATTGAAATGAATGCATGCAGTGATTACCTTGCGAAGAGGCACCACAGAAAACAGGCCAAGAAAACTAACGATGAACAGAAATCCAATCATCCATCCCAAGTGTGGGTTTTTGATGTTCTGAGCATCCAATGCTTCTGATGACTGTTTGGCAACTGCCTCACTCATGCCAAAGAGATAGGACCCGAAACCCCCTACAACGTAACACTATTGAGTCAAACCAACACTAAAAAGTTAAATTTAACACTCTAACAGCACACGTTTAATTCACGGATTAGGCCTAGAATAAAATGACGTTCCGAGAATAGGCTTATTTCGTTCTTTGTTAATGCTTTTTATTTCTAACCATACACTAAAATAACATTCATAAATGGTGTATTTAGTAAATAGCTATTAGCTAATTAGGGTAGTGGGCTTGACTAGTTGGTAACATTAGCTGATTGTAGAAAAATGGTTAGTAAATTAGTGGTTAGTTGATTACATTCAAAATGATTTTCTAAAAACGATAATCGAAAAAACTACTTTGAACAGTTTTTTGAATTTTAATGTTTTGGAACAATAAACTGTTACAAAATGTTAATTAATCAAACACTTATATGGACTGTTTAACCAAATCAAACAACTAATAGTGATCGAGTTAATACCAAAAATCGTCCTCGACTATAATGGTTTTTCTCAATTTCGTCCTAAACGACTTTGGTGACCTAATATCGTCCCAGACTTTTTTGTGTTTCGCTCAATTTAGTCCTCCATTTGTTATTCCGTCAAATTGGTGTTAAATTAAGGGACAATTCAGTAATGTCAATATTGATCTCTCTTTACTTTCAACTTGTGAAGTGCGAAATTCCTCTTTCTTGTACGAATTACACCCAGAATTACTCCCGGACCTGCAAATCAAATTTTATATTTGCAGTTTTAGGAGTAATTCGTAAAAAAAAAAAGGGATTTCGCAGTTCACATGTCTATGAGTAAAGAGATGCCAATATTAAAATTACTGAATTGTCTATTTATTTAACACCAAATGGACAGAATAACAAATGCGGGACTAAATTGAGCAAAAACAAAAAAGTCTGAGACTAAATTGAGCGAAACACAAAAGTCTGGGACGATATTAGGTCACCAACGTCGTTTAGGACGAAATTAAGAAAAACCACTATAGTCGAAGACGATTTTGGGTATTAACTCAATAGTGATCAAACAAGTTTAAATTGGCGGATAAGCTAACTATGTTACCAAACATGGTCATAAACAAATAATACTTCCTTGCTTATTCTATTTTCTGTTTTTTAAAATTAATTTCATAAACCAAACATGTTGTATAAAAAAGGATTGAGAGAGGGTTCATAGTCCATACCACTAAAAGCGATACCAGAGGTGGCAACAACACAAGTCTGAATAACAGTATTCTCCTGCCTCGTAAACGGCTGTTTCAACATCCCAGTTCTCTCCAAGAACGCCGTCCACGTCTTCACAAAGAAGAACCCCAGCAGCCCGGCCGACACGTTAAGCGAAGGAATGATTCCGGTGGTGAGGTTAAACTTCATCACAATCACCGTGAACAAGACCCCCAATCCCAGGCTCACCACAAAAGCTCTTATCGTCAACTGGTTTTGCCACTCCGGAACCTCCTTGTCCTTGAAGATCATCTCAACAGACTCCACTACCGCTGCTTCTTTCTTCTCATCGCCAAACCCTTCATCTTCCTCCTTCTTCCTTATCATCAGATCCGCCGACCCGTTTTCAATCCTATCACCATTCGTAGAACTCTCCATTCTTCAGCTCAGCTGATCGGAGCTATGAAAATTAACTCAATTCGAAACAATATAGTCTTGATCTATCGAGGTAGTAGTATAGTATTTATTATCTTGTTGCATTTATATATTGCCAATTTGCCATTGTTTTAATTTCTTGCTCTGCCATTATCGAATTGAACAAGCTAATGATGATAAAGCCAATGAATATGAAAATGATTCCTGGACAGGATTCGTGGAACGTAAGACGGATTTGTAGTAAAAATAGTATTATTAGACGTTGGAGTTCGTACGGTGAGTTGTCTGTGAAAATGACTTGGACACTGATTTCTTTGACGACATCGAAATCGTTGTCGTTTGTTCACTAGTATTCCTAGATTACAGTGTCCAACTGTATAGATCGAATTGAAATCTGTTTATATTTATAGAAGGTATTCATAGAGCACGGTGATGCATCAGTCTACTACTATCAAACTGGAGAAACAAATATTAGATTGTAAAGAATTATGAAACTGATTAAGAACCACCTGATAACCGAAATATCAAATAATCAATTTTTTTTTAATTAATAAACAAAAGTGACAACAATTAAAATTTGTCAATCAATTTAGTTATTGTTTATTTGACATTAGTTAATCAATAATTTGCTTACCGCAATACCGCTACATATATCATTGCACAACTCCTAAAATTTTGTAGCAAAACAATCTACATGTTCGATGTTGGATTGTTGGCACAACAATAACTTAATTTACATCACGATCGCAAATTAACCATAGCCTCCATTATTCCTCCCAATTTGTATATAATGTTCACACATGGAGATGTGACATTATAACAATAAAAAAAAAGTTATAAATTTGTCTTCTTTTATATGTATAATTTTTTCTAGTTGATAGATACTTTCACAAGAGACATTAGCATGGAATTGAACATTATTGTTATTATTTTAGGCCATTTGGAATTGAATATTATTGTTATTATTTTAGTCCATTTGGAATTGAACATTGTTGTTATTTTAGTCCATTTTGTTTTTTGAAGTTAGGGGTGAACATTCCAGTATGGTCTCTAACTAATCAAAAATCAATAATTTTTAAAATTTTTATAATCGACAATAGTGGATTGATAATATAGAGACACTAACTGAAAATAAAAAATTATAACCTATTTAAAATATTTCATTAAGTCGGGTACAGTATTAGGCTAATAGTGTTATATTCGGTGATCATAATTTTTTAATATTCATAATTAATTCATCGAATAATTGATATTTTTTTAAAACTAACAACTGATTACCGATCGAAATCAAAATTTTGATCAATTTAACTATCGATTATCGAGTTCTTCAATTTTTCGATAATTATGCTCACCCCTACATGTAATCATCCATTCATTTATTATAAATCGAGAGGAACGAATCATATTTTCCAAGATGTAGTGGTTGGTTTATAATTCCAGGAAGTATAGGGGCATAGGTGATAATTAATCACCCCTTTCAAAATTCTCACGGTTTTGTGCACTCCACCCCGCCATGGAGAACTGAAGCAATGAAGCGATGCTGTTCCTCACCGCCAATGCCCTCGGCTCGCTCGTGGAATCGGCCGTGTTGAACCGCTCTCTGCTTCTCGGCCAAGCCGTTCATGCGAAGATCGTCAAAACCCTTGAACCGCCTTTCCCTTCATTCATCTCCAACCACCTCATCAACCTCTACTCCAAACTCGGCGTCCTCAACTCTGCCCAACTCGTCCTCTCACTCACTCCCACCCGCCACCGCTCCGTCGTCACTTGGACTGCCCTCATCGCCGGCTCCGTCCAGAATGGCCACTTCGCCGCCGCCCTCCTCCACTTCTGTAACATGCGCCGCGACCGCATTCAGCCTAACGACTTCACCTTCCCTTGCCTGTTCAAAGCCTCGGCGTTCCTTAACTCCCCTCTCATTGGCCAGCAGCTTCATGCGTTGGCAGTTAAAAGCAGCTTGATATTGGACGTTTTTGTTGGGTGCAGTGCTTTTGATATGTACAGTAAAACGGGCATTAGAGAACTTGCAGACAAGGTGTTTGAGGAAATGCCGGATAGAAATATTGCAACGTGGAATGCATGTATTTCCAATGCTGTACTCGACGGGAGACATAATGATGCGGTTAACAAGTTTGTTGAGCTATTACGTGTGGGCGAAGAGCCTCCCAACTCAATAACCTTTTGTGCATTTTTGAACGCTTGCTCTGATGGCTTTTATTTAAAGCTCGGGATGCAGTTGCATGGGAATGTGATTCGACGTGGTTATGGTTTGGATATTTCTGTTCTAAACGGATTAATTGACTTTTATGGCAAGTGTCATGATGTGAAGTCCTCTGAGTTAGTTTTTGACAGCATGGATGAACGCAATGGTGTTTCTTGGTGCTCACTGCTAGCCGTCTATGAGCAGAATGACTTGGGGGAGAAGGCTCTTAAGGTTTTCTTGAAAGCCAGGGAAGAGGGAATTGAGCCGACTGAGTTCATGGTTTCAAGTGTGCTTAGTGCTTGTGCTGGGTTGGCTGCATTTGAGCTGGGAAGGTCAATTCATGGCCTTGTTGTAAAGGCCTGTGTTGAGGAAAATGTGTTTGTTAGGAGTGTGCTTGTAGACATGTATGGCAAATGTGGGTGCATAGAGGATTGTGAGAGAGCATTCTATGAAATGCCCGAGAGAAACTTGATAACCTGGAATGCTTTGATTGGTGGTTATGCTCATCAAGGGCATGCTAACATGGCACTGGATTTGTTTGAGGACATGACAAGAAAAACTCAAGATGTGGTGCCTAATTATGTTACATTTGTTTGTGTTCTCACTGCATGCAGTAGGGCTGGAGCAGTTGAAACAGGCATGGATATTTTTGAGGCAATGAAGGACAAGTATGGTATTGAACCAGGGGCAGAGCATTATGCGTGTGTTGTGGACATGCTTGGGCGGGCTGGAATGGTTGAGCGTGCATATGAATTCATAAAAAGAATGCCTATTCGGCCTACTGTGTCAGTTTGGGGGGCACTTTTAGGGGCATGTAGAGTGCATGGGAAACCAGAATTGGGTAAGATTGCAGCAGATAATTTGTTTCAGATTGATCCACAAGATTCTGGCAACCATGTGATCCTTTCAAATATGTTTGCATCTTCGGGCAGGTAGCATTACCATCATTTTCTGTTTGTTTGTTTGTTTAAAGAGGTACAATGCTTTAATATCTTAAATTATTATATTACTTTTGAGCAGTATTACAGACTCTATATACACCCTTTGTTGTCTAAAGAATGTCCATCCATTTCTTTGCTTTCTCCAAATATTCTACATTAATGTGTTTTGATTATTTTCCATGGATACCATCCAAACCCCTTATGCCTACAGTAGATAAATTAATAGATAAATTTATACTTCAAAATAAGTCGTCCTTGAACTTGAAAATTTATTTTTTTCTTCTTCTTGCTCTCAGTGAACTATCAATTAGCTACACTTTTGCTGCATCATGTTAGTTCAATGTATATATTGAGCTTTTATGTACACCTAAATACCTAATCATGTACTCAATACATGCAGGTGGGAAGAGGCTAACCTCGTGAGGAAGGAGATGAAGGACATAGGGATAAAAAAGGGTGCAGGATACAGTTGGATATCTGTTAAGAATTCTGTGCATGTTTTCCGAGCAAAGGACACATCTCATGTAAAATACCAAGAAATTCTTGCAATGTTGGCTAAACTAAAGAGAGAGATGAAAGCTGCAGGTTATATCCCAGAGACTAATTTGGCTCTTTATGATCTAGAAGAGGAAGAAAAGGAATCTGAAGTTTGGTACCATAGTGAGAAGCTTGCACTTGCATTTGGTCTCATAACTATTCCTCCTGGAGTCCCTATACGAATAACAAAAAATCTTAGGGTTTGTGTGGATTGTCATAGTGCTATAAAGTTCATCTCAGGCATTGTAGGCAGAGAAATTATTGTGAGAGACAACAATAGATTTCATCGCTTCAAGGACGGTCAGTGTTCATGCAAAGATTATTGGTGATGCTAATCAACAGTTTGAAGATTATTACAGGAAATTTCTTTCTCCTGGGCTATATCAAAGTTACTCCTGTGGCTATGATGCATCCAAAATCATAATATTAAGGTTGGAACCTGATCGAGCTGCAAGTAAACATCTCAGGCCACTGATGAGTGTTTGTCCAATTTGCCCAAAATCCCTTGTAAGATCTGCATTTAGAGTCCTGAAGAGTTTTGGGGTATGTGATGTAAATATGTAATTTATCTTCTCCCAGTGACAAACTGCCCATACTTGCTGGATGCTCCTAAATCCTGATCAGCCAGCATGTTACGTTTAACTTGAAGGTACGACTTCTTCCTTCCCATTACATCTTGCAGACTATGGTGTTCCATTCTCTTATATTAATTAGGTTTGTTAAATTAAAGATTGGACTTTGTTAAATTGTTATTATTATTATTCTTTCCAAAATGTTGAACCCCAACCCTAAGGGCCCGACAGAGCATCTGGGGCCTGGGGGATGTAAATCATGGTAACTCAACTGAACATGAACCATGGAGGCTAGACCTTTGTTTAGTGCAACTCGATCGCTGGTCATTCTTTCCAACTTCCACCTCTATAACCAGTTGAGCTGTCCATGCGTGCATTATTCTTATTATTATTAGTTGCTTTGTGCGAAGTGTCATGCCAACAATCAATTAATGTGTTGTACGGAGTATGTTTTAAATAAGGTAATATATAATATTATTATAATTAAAGAATTAATTTTATGTACTAATTAGTCGAAATTCATGCACCAAAATAATAATTATTATTTATTATTATAATTACAAAATTAATTTTATGTAATAACTAGTTGAAATTAATTTATCACAATAATAAATATTTATTAACATAATTGTTTAATATAATTGTCTTATTTACAAATTTCAATTTGTAATTCTTCTCACACACATATATATATTAACTAAGGTATAATATATTATTATAATTAAAGAATTAATTCTATGTACCGATAGAAATTAATATACCTAAATAATAATTTTTTTTTTTGATGGGAAACTAAATAATAATTATTCATTAACTTAATTTCCACACTTTCTTTTTTAAAAATTATACAAATTTATAATTCTATACATATATATATTTTAATTAAGGTATAATATTATATTAGTTCATGATTGCAGTAGGTGTTAGGCGCTAATGAGGCGGTAGAATACTGCCTAGCTATTTTTGCAATAGTGCTATATATATATATATCCCAATCCCATTAAAAGGGAAATTGAAAAAAAAAATAAAAATATGTTGGTGTAAAGTGTAAACCATCAATTGGCGCCGTTACTCTACATGTATAAATACATGCCTTTGGCTGGTTCTCTTAGAGTTCTCCACTTCTCCCTTCGCTAAACCCTAATTTATCTTTAGGGTTTTTCACATTGCAGCTTCTCTCCCCAGCGATTTCTATCTCTGTGCAAAATTACTAAACCAATGCAGAAAGGTTCAATATTTTTTAAAATGTTTTTTTTTTTTTTTTTTTGGGTTTTTAAAATCTGTTTTTTGAAAACGAGTTCACTGTATTTTGGTGACATTGTAGTTAAGAGAGAAGCAGAAGCTGCGGTCGAGAAGTCCAGCCCGAAAAGGCAGAAAAAGGATTCAGCTTTAGAACAAGCCATAGAGAAAAAAAGGGCCGATGCCAAGATTCAAAAGAAGAAGGTGGAAAGCAGTTCCTCTTCATCTGATTCTGAGGAAGAATTGAAGGTCAGTAGTATGTGCATGCTTGAAAGTACCATTTAGTGTTGTATGTTTTTATTGACCTAAATTTGATTTCCTGTAATTAGATTCTTATAAAAATTACTGTTCTTATATTTTTTTTTTTTTTGTTTTTAGAGTATGGATTATTTGTTCCATTCAATGTTTTTTAAAAATATATTGTGGGTTGTGTTTTAAACACCGAGTATCTGATGGTGTTTTTAAGAAACCAGTGGTTGTCAAAAATGGGAATCTTTCAAACAGTAATGATTAGGAGAGTGATTCAGATGAAGATGAAGTACTGGATGTTTGAGATATAATTTACAATAGAATGCAATATTGATGTACCATGTTCTTTTTTCCCATGATTTTAACACTGGTTTTTTGAAATTATATCTAGGTCCCAAAGATAAAACAAGCTGCTTATGCTAAAAAATATCAGTCCAGCTCTGAAGATAGTAGCTCTGATGAGGAGGCTGCCAAGAAGGTTCCTAAAGGAAAGAATGCACCCACTACAACCATTAAGATGGAAGTTAGTTCTAGTGATTCTAGCTCAGATGAGGAGATGCCTGCTGCCAATAAGGGTCCTGCTCCCAAAGGAAAGAGTGCACCTGCTGCATTAATTAAGAAGAAAGATCTTAAAGGAAAGAATGCACCCACTACAACCATTAAGATGGAAGTTAGTTCTAGTGATTCTAGCTCAGATGAGGAGATGCCTTCTGCCAAGAAGGGTCCTGCTCCCAACGGAAAGAGTGTACCTGCTGCATTTATTAAGAAGAAAGATAGTTCTAGTGATTCCAGCTATGATGATAGTAGCTCAGATGAGGAGATGCCTGCTTCCAAGAAGGGTCCTCCTCCGAAAGGAAAGAGTGCACTTGCTACATCCATTAAGAACAAAGATATTTCTAGTTATTCCTATTATGATGACAGTAGCTCAGATGAGGAGATGCCTGTTGCCAAGAAGGGTCCTGCTCCCAAAGGAAAGAATGCACTTGCTGCATCCATTAAGAAGAAAGATAGTTCTAGTGATTCCAGCTCTGATGATAGTTACTCAGATGAGGAGATGCCTGCTGCCAAGAAGGGTCCTGCTCCCAAAGGAAAGAGTGTTGTTGCATCCATTAAGAAGAAATATAGTTTTAGTGATTCCAGCTCTGATGATAGTAGCTCAGATGAGGAGATGCCTGCTGCCAAGAAGGGTCCTGCTCCCAAAGGAAAGAGTGCACTTGCTGCATCCATTAAGAAAAAAGATAGTTCTAGTGATTCCAGCTCTGATGATAGTTACTCAGATGAGGAGATGCCTGCTGCCAAGAATGGTCCTGCTCCCAAAGGAAAGAGTGTTGTTGCATCCATTAAGAAGAAATATAGTTTTAGTGATTCCAGCTCTGATGATAGTAGCTCAGATGAGGAGATGCCTGCTGCCAAGAATGGTCCTGCTCCCAAAGGAAAGAGTGCACTTGCTGCATCCATTAAGAAAAAAGATAGTTCTAGTGATTCCAGCTCTGATGATAGTTACTCAGATGAGGAGCTGCCTGCTGCCAAGAAGGGTCCTGCTCCCAAAGGAAAGAGGGTTGTTGCATCCATTAAGAAGAAATATAGTTTTAGTGATTCCAGCTCTGATGATAGTAGCTCAGATGAGGAGATGTCTGCTTCCAAGAAGGGTCTTCCTCCCAAAGGAAAGAGTGCACTTGCTGCATCCATTAAGAAGAAATATAGTTTTAGTGATTCCAGCTCTGATGATAGTAGCTCAGATGAGGAGATGTCTGCTTCCAAGAAGGCTCCTGCTCCCAAAGGAAAGAGTGTTGTTGCATCCATTAAGAAAGATAATTTTAGTGATTCCAGCTCTGATGATAGTTACTCAGATGAGGAGATGCCTGTCACCAAGAAGGGTCCTGCTCCCAAAGGAAAGAGTGTTGTTGCATCCATTAAGAAGAAATATAGTTTTAGTGATTCCAGCTCAGATGAGGAGATGCCTGCTACCAAGAATGGTCCTGCTCCCAAAAGAAAGAGTGCACCTTGCATCCATATTATTATTAATTACATAAAATAGAAAATTATATACACGAAAGCTCATAAATGAACATCTAAAAATATCTCCTTAGAATATTAATGTGCATACAGATTTTTTAATCATTAAGAAATAAATAACTACAATTATTTATAAAATGATATTTGTGTTGTTGCTCGTTGATTCAAATCTTGTAGTAATAAATAAGTAAATAAATCTATTTCTTAAAAAGGAGCAAGCGGTTGATGATGTTCTTATTGAGACTGATGCTCTTCGTTTAATCTTACGTGATATTAATAGTCTTCTTATGTTATTTTTAAATGTTTCTATTTCTTTTGTAAAGCGTTTGGCTAATATGGTTGCTCATGTAATGGTGAACACAGATCCAAACGGTGCCATTTTTACGAAGAAAAAAAAAATTCGCTAAAGTGGTGTTACCGGCGCGCGTTTGGTCATATTATGAATTTTCTATTATGAGATTATGAATTATGAATGTACTGTAAATTCATAATCTCATAACAAAAAATTCATAATCGCATAAAAGAAAAACACTTATTAAATTATGAATTTTCAGTTATGAGATTATGAATTTACTGTAAATTCATAATCTCATAACAGAAAATTTTCTAATCTCATAAAAAAAAAAACATCATTTCATAACTGCACATTCATAAATCCATGCAATTATGAATGTGCAGGCATGGATTTATGAATGTGCAATTATGAAATTATGAATTTTCTTTTTATGAGATTATGTTGAAGAAGCTTGCGCGAAGAGGAAGTGAAACCGCAAAATGTGAAAATGAAGAAGAAAAGTCGCGCGGTTAATTAAGAAAAAAAAAAAAAAAGATAACGGTGCACTGTTATCGTTGGGACCGTGTTCACCATGAATGGTGAACACGGTTCCATGGCATAACGATCCATGTATGTCGGGTTTGGTTACACATCGGCCCTCCTTTTATTTGTCATGCTTTATGTAAGGATTTACGTGATATATGAATCTAATTGTGGTTTTGGTTTTCAAAAAAAAAAAAGATTGAGAGATAATAAACAATTTGAGTTGTTATTTATAGTAATACGTAAATGGACACAATGAGATAAGAGATTATCATGGTCCAAAATTAAAAATTAATTTAACTAATTGTATAGTGACACTTAACAACGACAAGACTAAAATGAACATGAATGAGGCTTGAAAAGTAGTGTCACGGAGCTAGAGAGTGTTGTCGGGAACATTAAAGACCAAGAAGGGAATTGGTAAAACTACAAACTTTGTTGCGGAGCTTTGAGAACTTCGTGAGGGCTTGTCACTAGTGCGGGACATGGGCCTCAGTGCGGTGGATGTGGAACTTGAGTCTGAAATTGTTATCAACACTGGCCCATGGACAATAGGCATGAGACTAGAACCTTGGTAATTGACTGCATAAATTTTATTAATCAGATTGAGACCACTATGACATCTCACATCTTTAGAGAAGGTAACTAATGTGCTAATTTTCTAGTCAAATGGGGGCAAAATTACTACTGGGGCACTATAATAATTGATCGGGCGTCGATTGAGATAGAGTCTTTGCTCAAACGGGTTGTTGCAAGTGTCCTAACGAGAACAATTTGATAACACTCAGGACCTAGGAGGTCCCTCCGTAGCACCAAAAATAAAAAAGGTGACACCAAATTAACAGTGCTTTAG